GAACCCATTCATATCAATCATCTCGAATCCTAAAGGAGTAAGTGGGTAAGGAATAATAGGTTTTTTTTTAGATGGAGGTAACCCACTATCATATTCCCGTCGAAAAAGATGGGGTCAACTAATTTTCTTACGTGAATGCTGAATTTTTTGGGGTGGTGGTAGTCTAGTGCCAAAGAACGCGTCACATGGTCCGAGAAACCATCACAATCGATATCCACCCAAGCGAGCTAGGCTTTCCATCCCTACGGAGTAGTTTAATCGGTGCCAGGCCAGTCTGGGAGGATAGAAGCGCTGATTTGTACGTCAGCTGACCATCGTAAGCCACTTCATGGGCTATAAAACTCTTCAAAACGCCATTACGATCCTGAGTGAAAGTCGAATTCGGGGCGCATCCCACAAGTGAGATTGATCGATGCCAAAGACTTGAACCCTCAACTCAAGATTTCATTGATTATTTTTATTACAAGCTTTATCGAAGTACGTTCATTCCCCTGCAGATCTCTGGTTTGATCTGGTGGGTCCGGAACTCGGAACCAATCTGGCCGTCGAAAGCTGGTTAAACGGTGGTGCTGACGATTTGGAGAGCATCTGTACGAGAAGCATAAGCGTAAGTTTCTAGTGAATCTGCTCGCGACAAGAAGTTTTTTCTCGCTGAAGACAAAAATCGTTTAGATATACGACGTTTCGGTTGTTAGCTTACCGGATGTGTCGTTCAACAGTTCACGAGATCATTCCAAATGGGCTGTGGCAGATACTAACGGGCGCACATCAATTGTTTGTGTTGGGGATTTGAATCGACAGGTGCGAGCAATACCAGTAACTATTTTCTCTCTTTTGGAAAAATATATAAGAAAGTATAAAAAAGGAACTGAATAGTAAATCCCGCCGTCCACTCAAATAGAGTTAAACCCAGCTAAAGCTAGAAATCAAAAGTCGCCCAGTTTGCATATATACTTCGCGGATTAGTGACCAGTGATCGCTGCTGAAAGGTGAAAATAGTGTTTGAATAAATGAGACGGAGAACGGTAGAGAACGCCTGTAAATAGACGCTTTACATAAACAGTGACAACAAGGCTTTGTAGTGTACAGTGTTGAAAACTGTTTGAAATGGGCTTGGGTATGTTGAGAATTCCTTGACGAAAGGGAGGGAGACTGGAGTGGGAACAGGTCCAACTTGCGTCATGGGAACTTGTTTGTATCTTTAACAGATTCCAACGCTCAACAATGTGAACATACCGTGCGTTTCATAATTATAAGGTCACCCTCAAATTTTGCACTTTCAGAA